ATGTTTTTGGCATCCCGCATGGCCAGAGCCGCTGCCGAGACAATCTTGATCTCTTTCCCGAAGTTCTGAGCTCCATCTGGTAAGGCGAGAATGTCTTTGACAACGTTCTGTGTACGTTCTTCGATGTTGGCCTGAGTTGTTGATTGCAGTTCGGCTCGTTCGGTGTACTTGTCAGGTTCGAATGCAGCTTTCGCTTGTTCCAGAGAACGTGTTTCCTCTCGCAAGTCCATTTCTGCTTCAATAATTCTCATCACTTCGAGAACAATGGAAGGTGGCAGGCTGACGGAACTTCCTCCCTTACAGGCTCCACACTTGGAAGGAGAAACCATCTCCTCTGCCCAACGGTCCAGAGTATCAGCCCAGAACTCGGCATGGACGATTGATTCCCCAGATAGGTTCTCGATAACTCGCTCGCCTAAATCGTTGAGAGATTCGACCGGTTCGAGTTCCTTCATTTCCTCCAGGATTCGTTCAAACTTCGGTTCTCTTTTGCGGCCGTAGTATGCTTGCAAATCAGATTGAATCGTCCAGACATTGCGACTTTGTGCGATTTCGGATTCAGAAATCGTTTCCAGACGCTTCTGATCGTTCTCCTCAAGGTCATTAGAAGACTTCCCAAACCCCTTGAAGAGTGTGCGGTTGAGGCTTTTGGCGATCTCCATTTGGCGTCGGGAAGCAGCTTTCAGACGTTTGACAAACGTGCTGTTCTCAAGATCATCCAGAATGGCCTGCAAGTCTTCACGAATCTTGTTGAAGTCGTCGAGCAGATTCGCTTGCAGTTCAACTGCCTCATCTAGTTGCTCCTGCTGCTCTTCCTCTTCTTCGTCTTTGGCTGGCGGTTTTGGCCCCCCCCATTAAGACAGTACTCGGCAGACCAAGTTTACCAGTGCTTGGCTTTTTCTTTTTTGGCTTCGCATTGGGATCTGCTTCGTTCGGCTTGTTGTGGCCTGATTCAATATCTGCAATGGAAGGTGCCTTCTCGACTGGCTCACCTTCAATTTTATCTGGAGGACTCCCATCGGGCTTGGAGCTGTTCCGAATGTTGCCTGCACTTGTTCCTGGTTTTGATTTACTTGATTGACCATTCCCAGGTTTCGGCTTCGCATGCATTTTCGCCTGAGCTGCTTCATTGAGGAGATCTGCAATCGAAGGCATTCTTTGGTCTGCCATCTCTCGCAGTTGTTTCAAGGCTTCAGCCCAGGTCTCCATATGCCCGACCAACATTTCCGGGTTTCTGATGGCCTGTTGAATTAACTGCTCACCCTGCATCGTGACTGCATCCAGACGCATGGCATTCGCCTTTTCTGCGGAAGCCTGGCTGCGGATCATTTGTTGGTTTTCACGAGTCGCTAACTCTTCAGGTGCCATTCTCCGCAACTGGCGATTCGCATCGTGTAGACGAATTTCCTCTTCGTAGACATCGTCCGCCAAACTGGCCCAGCGACGTAACTGATTCGCCACCCAAATCGCATGATCTTGAGGGGATAGGACATGTAACACATAGGTTGGAGAATAGGCACGGCCCCGTTCGGGATGGTAATCTTCGGCAAAGGCGCGAATCTTCAACGATTGCGGACGGACATTATCAGCCTCTGCAGAGAATGTGGCTGTCGCAGTCAGAGCCGGAGTTTCAGGAGCGCCGATATTGACTGTTTTATCTCCCTTGTCCGGCTCAGGATTGTGAGTCGGGTTGGCGATGCCTTCCCACTCCAGTCCGATTTTCTTCAAGCCAAAATCATCATTGGCAGAGAGGTCAAACGAAATCGTTTCCGTTGAGAGAACCACCTGCTGCGGGTCTGACTGTTGGCAAAAGACGGAAGGCTCCGCGTCTTCAATGGCGTTGATCTTCAACTGGAAATCGTTCTTCGGAGTCAGTCCGAGTTCGTCTTTCCAGTTCAGTAGAATCGAACTGGAATCATCAACACGAATGGCAGCGACCTCAAGGCGGTCCCCTGAAATCTTGGCTGACTTGCCTGAAGCTTTTCCATCGACCAGTTTACGATTGATAGTCGCTGTCAAATCGAGTTCGGCCCCTTTCACGACTGAGATCACGCCCCCACGAACATCAGACTCGATGTCATGCGAGTATTGCAGATAGTCTGGCAACTGAATGGACGCCTGCATCTCCTTGAGTTCTGGGCGTGTGGCTGTCTTCAGATGAATTGACTCTCGCACATCTCCAATGCGGACACTCACCTCTGATTCGGATGTTTGGGGTGGAATGACAAATTCGTACTGATCGCCATCAAGGGTGGCTGTGATTGGCTCACGAGAGTTCGCTGCGCGGACTTTTCCTTCGGAGGGATTCCAGCGGGACTTCTCATTGAGCTTGGCTGTGAGTGGGAATTCTTCCCCATGTGGGATGACCATCTCAGCTGGCAACTCGTCGATCTGCGCGAAGGTATAGCGATCAACATTCCTCCAGGGTGTCAGCCAGCGAGCCAACGCGTTTGATCCAGCCGCTGGGAGAGCAACCAGACAGAGCAACATCAGAATCAACGGCACCGCTGCCAGTTTTAACCACCAGTGATGTTTTGGATCAGGCACGGCATCGCTGAGATCGCGATCTTTGATGACTTCATCGACTTGAGCGATGGCAGCTCGCGTGAGTGTTGAACTTTCGACATTCGCCTTTTCATTGAGAGCCAACTCGACCACACCCAGTAGCTGATCACCCAGACGAGGGAACTTGTGCCGCACCAGACCGGCGACCTGCTCCATCCGGCGAGTGCCCCAAATCCAGCGATGGCATTTCAGCGGCAAAAAGAGTCCCACACCTACAGAGCCTGTCAACAAGATGACCAGACGCACCACGGCAGGGGTGTCGAAAAAGCGATCGAGAATGAACACCATTAAATAGGAAACGGCCAGACCGAACAGGCCTGCCAGAATTCCCTCTGCGATCTTCACAAAACGGACACGAGAGCGGTATTCCTCGAGTCGCTGTCGCGTCATCGGAGGAAGTTGTGCTGCACCATTCTGCGACTGCGAAGCGTCAGAAACTGTTCCAGTTGCCATTCACGTTTCTCCAGGTTTGAGAAACCATATCCAAGGGGACAAATCTGCAAGGCAAATCACATTTCTAAATGTGAAAACGACAGATTCTCCGTGTGAGCATTTTGCGAAAGCATTACGCTTTATTGATTTGTTCAACGGGAAATATATCCCGAAAAGTCAGAAACTACCAGAAGAAACCCCGAAATGATGACCTCGGATCAGATTGTTTACAAAAAACTGACATCAATTATCAGAGGAAGTTCTGCTTGCGACTCTTTGGCTGGACTTTTCCCTCACCAACTGATTCGGGGTTAACACGTTGATGTGGCGGTTGATTTCGCTGGAATCTGATTTCTTGCTGTTTTGCCGCTTCTTCGAACTTTTTTGATGGCTACAGGCCAATTCGTCATGCAAGCGAGTGAGTGATGTTAACCCGGTGACGACTTCATAAGCTCTGACGAAGTCAGGCGACTTGTCCCCTCTCCCCCGCGAGTCGCTGACCAACCTTGACCGACGGGATGCGGGGGAGAGGGCAGGGTGAGGGGGAAACTGAGCCCCTCATCCTATCCTTCTCCCCACAACCATGTCTTTTTTGGGGGGCAGCACAAAGTGGGGAGCAACTGTGTTTGATTTCAAGTTTTTCATGGTGCAAGTCATGGTAAAAGTCAGAAAAAGTTTGAACTTCAGTACAGGCTCAGCAGACGGGGGATCGTATCCCGTCCACCTCGCCATCACCTCGTCCTGGTCGGTTGAAGGCCGAGGTGACGGCGAGGCGGACGGGACTCTCAGTTCGTTCTATTTTGTTGTTGTAGGGATGCCGAGATGATCGACCCATTCGCTCTCTTCGCGGACAATGGTATTCAGTATCACCAGCAGTTTTCGCATGCAGGCGGTGTGCACAATTTTGTGCGGTTTCCCTTTCGATTTGAGGCGTTGTGCGAACTGCTTGATGGCAGGGTTGTATCGCATGGCACTCAAGGCAGCCATGTACAATGTTGCTCGCAGCCCGCTGCGGCCCCCCCAGACATGCCGTTTTCCG